GCGTTAAGCGAGAAAGAATGGAGAAAATAGAAAAGGTACCGTGACAGACCAGGAAAATATTTATCATCATCTGAGCATAATAATTAATCATTATGTATATTAAATACATATGAAACTAAGTTTATTTTTATTTAACTTTCTTATAACTTTTATGGAAGTTAATTAATTGTAATACATTATTCCATTTTATAATAATATGATATTATAATTAGATATATATTGTTTTTAATATAGTAACAGTTTAAAAAATATTATTTTTATAATACTAGCGACTTACCCTCGCTTCGCTAAGTTCGACTTTGTTTTAAAATGTTGGATAAAAAAATTGTAATAGATAATATAAATCTAAAATATATATGTATTTAGCCCTTTTTAACGTCCCACTGCTGTAAAACACAGTTTCGGAAACCGTAATCTTTTACTAGAAAGATTGGTTTTCTTACCATGTAAGTATTTTATTTAGTCAAAACATGTAAATTAATTTTATAATTAACTCATTTGAGAAAGAACATCTACTTAAAAAAATCCTTAAGTATCTAAATTATTAATAAGAGGGTCAAGTAGTGGACATACTATTCAAAACAAAAGGTAAAAATCTGGGTTAAACCAGCCTTTTCAGTTTGTATGAAACAGCTCTGTGTATTTTTAAATATTCTCCCGAAACACGTTCTAATCGTAGTTCAGGCAATAAAAATAAATATCTAGATTATTTCGTACAATATATATATACACTTACTAAACTATACTAAATACAAGTATAGTTTATCTATTTTATTTTTATTAAGATTCTTTTGTTTGATTGCGCTTCTCTTTGAAAGAAGCAATGAGATTAAAAAATAATTGCATTTTATAGCTTACTATCATTGCCCGCGGCTCCGTCCGCGTTCTAATGACCTAAAACCAAATTCTTAGGTTTTACATATTAGTATACTCTTACATTGCAGTTTTTGTATTGTTTCTCAGAAATGAGATATTTTCCCGCGGTAAAAAGTATCCTATATGTTGACCCGAATAACCAGCTATGACAAATTTCATCACAATCCCTCTAGTTGTTTTTCTGTGATGCGGTAACAGACAGACAGACAGACAAAAAATCTAAAACCTATAGATTCGGCCTCTGTATCGATAATAATGTTTATTTCAATAAGGTTTTCCGAAAAATATTTAATTTACAGATTCGGCTTGGTTACAATTTTATTATATGTATAGATTTCTTGAGGAAGGTTCAGTCTAAAGAATTTTAAAGATAGAGTCCGCCAAAATAAACGTCAAAGTCAAAAATAGTAGGGCGATTTACTGTTTACGCTACTATTTTCGATTTTGTCATACAGATCGATTACTTTCTTCAAATAATAAGAGAAATTTTATATTTGTATTGCTTAAATAAATATATCTAAAAATTTTGAGAACTAAATATAGATAAGAAAAATAATATTATATTTTTTGTATATTTTAATCACTAGTTCTCTTCCCTTTGAAAGAAAAAGAGAGAAAGCATAATATTAGCTTTCCTTTTTCTTTATTTTAATAAAATCCTTTAGCTTTTTTATTTATTAACATTTATTTACTTATGTATACAAATTGTCATTTGTATACTTTTTTTTAAACATTATTGTTTGGCTTCATGTTTAGTTCTATGACACCCAGTTAATATTAAACCTTAGGCTGAGGTTCTATGCTACTTGACATCATGCTTCATTCATAAAGTACGCGAGCGGAGCGGAGCTGGCTTATTATAAAATGTATTTTCAAACCTACTTATTAATTATTATTATACTTTACAAAGCATTTAAAATAATATGAGACATGCATTGATCTAGAGATATTCACGTTTATATCTACTTTTAAAATGTTATGCCTTCTCAAGTGTGACATTATACGAGTATAAGAAATCGTAACGAATAGTGTAATTCTTCTCTCAATCACTGTTTTACTAACACATATTTTTTTAATTTCATATGACAAGCTTATTTATTATCTTTTCTATCTCATAAACAATTTATAAGTTTTAATGTTAGATTTTCTCTTGTATCACTTTGTCACGTTTAGTCGCACATTGTGCAAAAAGCTAAATGGAATGATACAATGATACAATGTATATACTGTGAAATCTTTTTAATCATTTTTAATAATATTATAATTGTTTAATATTTTAATTGATGTTAATATACTCAATACTCATCCATCCGTCCGCTCATGAATCCTTTGAGTGTTTAGTTATCAAATTACTTCTCCCGATTTTTACAATAATAATGTTAAATACCTAATAAAATTTGCCAAAAGATGGTGCTACGTGTTTATAATATCAAAAATTGCACCTAGAGATGCACCTAAGTGAAGCGAGGGTAAGTCACTAGTGTAGATACCCTATAATTCGAATATATTTATTGTCAACTTGAAAAATTCTTCATATTATATTATATCATATTAATACTTGAGGAAATAACAGCTATTCAGCACTGCGTTGTATTTACACGGAGTATTTCCCCTGTATTTAAGCTAATTACTAAAGTTCAATTATAACATACTTAAATTTAATCTTTGTATTACGTGCTGCCAAATCTATAATTGCGAGAAAGTGCAGTAATAAACATACTGCGAATTACAAGTTACGTAACTAAATCGCAAATATAATCCATTGTAAAAAGTGTGCCTTTCAAATGGAGCTTTTAAATTTTTTACAAATAGCATTTGCATGTTCACGTAATTTTGAAAGTAGCCACGCACGTAATGTTCAAAATCTCTAACCATTTATCTCAATGACCCTTGGTCTTACTTTGAATCTTTTTTTTTTACATTTAAAACAGTTCAATTTAATATTTTTTGAGGAAATATAAGCCTTGTTTTGAACATTGACGACATGTTTAGCTCAGTTTGTGGTGACCCTACTTTCTGTGCCATCGGTCGCGGGTTCGAGTCCCGCTGGGGGCATTCATTTGTGTGATGAGCACGAATGTTTGTTCTCCAGTCATGGGTGTTTATATTTATAATATGTATGTATTTAAAGTTATATATATATGTATTGTATCAACTATCTGGTATCCATAACACAAGCCTCGCAGCTTACCATGGAACAAGAAGTTGCTGTGTTAATGTCCCACCATATTTAAAAAAAATAAGTCTTGTATAAAAAGCTTTTTTCCTTCATAAACGCAACTGTTTTCATAAACGCTTAGTTGATGCATTTATGAAATTTGATAGAGAACCTTTGGAGAAAAAAATGTATTTAAGATAAGAAGGAACTGCCTAATATTTTTTCATAGTGCTACTATAGATATTGATGTACTATGTTCTTGGTCTCTGTTGGTGAAAGCTTTATTAAGTTGGTACTATTGTAATATCTATAATATCATATTAAATTATTAAATTATTTTGCTATACCACACATTTTTCATTCAGTTAGTTAAACTAAAAAATATTTAAAAACGAATGTTTGTATACATAAGTAAATAAATATAAACAAACATGAGCATATACATACTAAATACCTACATTAAGTGTACTTTTGTGGTATACATATATATATAATAATTGTAAATACCATTTTCGTTGATGGTATATTAGAGCTCAATAATTAACCGAAAGCGGTATTTTAATTAACTGCTTTATCGCTTATATTTGTGAAAATGGTTATGTTATGAACACTCAATAAACAGGAATATTTAATTTTAAAACTATAGAAAAAGAGCATGCTAATATTTAAGCATCATTATTTTCATAATGCCACAAAGTTGCATACATGTTTGGATTAATTTGTATGCAACCGGTTTTGTTTATTTTCTATCGTGCAAGTTAGAATAGCAGGTATAAGCATATAATTAGAGCAGAGTTGATCGAATGATAGGGATAATAATTGGTATCGTGGAGAGAGCTGCGTGGAACGTATAACAACAATAAGACGTTTTTAATTCGTAAAAGCGAGATATTACAATACTGACCTACCTCCTTTATACATATAAATATATTAACTTATGGTTATTGCTTTTATTTTATAACTGTTTAATTTTCGCGTCCCATAATTACATACTACTAGCAGAACCCGCGGCTTCGCTCGCGCTAAAACTACAAAAAAACTCTAAAAAGTTAGTTTTCATACAAACTTTCATCCCCTATTTTACCCCCTTAAGGGATAAATTTCTAAGAATGTTAAAACACATATTTATTTAATTGTATTGAAGAGCATTAATACCAAGTTTCAAGTAATTCTGATCATAAATATTTTTTTGGATTGTATTATAACGTGTTTTCCCGAAGGAATTAGATAATCTCCAGCGGTAAAAATTACCCTATGTCACTCTCCAGCCCTCCAACTATCTCTAAACAAAAAATCACGCCAATCCGTCATCCCATTTCGACGTGAAAGAGGGACAAACAAACAAACAATTTATATATTAGTATTTATAATATTAGTATGGATACTCTTACAATACTAAAATGAATATTCATTAATGTCTTAAGTTTTAATATTTAATAGCAAAGCTTTAATATTTTACATTTTTTGTTGTCATATTTATAAGAAACTATTTTTCAGTAGTTCACTATCCTATATATTTTGTATTATTTATTGTACTATGTGTCTCAATATACGCTATATGAAGCAGAAAGTTTAAGTATAAGTTAGCTTTTAATGCATACAAAGTTCCCACGAAGTCTAACAAAAGATTTCTCTGCTGCATTTCGATCCTGTGAACATTTTCACACAGATAACATTTACAAAATGAAAAACATTTTCACCGCGACTCAGGTCAGGGCTTCGAGAGAGATGCGATACTCAATTAAGATAAGCGGCTAGCAGACAGCAGTCACAGTGCAATTATGCCGCTCATTCGTCGTGACCAAACTAAAATTGCCACTGCATTAGAGAGCAGGGAGGGCGGTTGTTGTGCATCCACTATCAAAACTATATCAGCGGTGCTCTGTCGTCACTAGCGTTCAGTCTACGCGCGCTTTGACTACGCGCTCACACGCGAACGGAAGAAAGTGAAATTTTCATAATGGAAATGGTTGTGGTTTTGACTATTTGTTTATTTCATTTGACTTTTGTTAATCCAAATGATGAAATGCGTTATGAACAAAATAAAAAATTCAACACGTATCAATTAGAGGTGCCGGGGAAAGAGCCGATTACTATAATTGAAAGTGAACCTACGTCAAAAGAGTTACATCAAAAATGGGATGCTACCGAAACAACATTGGATAATGATTCTGATATTAAAAAAATGATGGCACATATGATCTACGATGGACCAAAAGAAAAACCACGTTGCTACGGACCATCTTGTCAAGAAGGATTTATGGAAGACGAAGGACCACAACAAGATGTTGAGGATTTTATAATTGAGAATTCAGATAAATTAAAAGATTTCAGCGAGCTTTCTACTGAGCGACTCCAGGCTATAGCAGCCTTAGCAGCAAAACTAAAGAGAAATAAGAATAAAGATAGGTTTCCTCAACAAAACCAAGATGATGAAAGTGAAGATGAGGTATTTACTTCCTGGAATCGCTTGAAAGTAAAGCAGCACAAGCATCCTTTTGATGACAAAGATGGTTGGGTAACGTTGGAACCTGTTGCTTGGTCTTCAAGTAAAATATCAAAATGGAAACCTAATGTAAAAAAACAAAAACCTACATATTGGAACGATGATGAAGATACCAAATACGCTAGTGACGATCGATATCCTTCATATCAAGAATCAGAAAATAGTTATTATTATCCTCAAAAACGACCAATGACCAGACCAGGTTATATAAATAATAAATTACACATTCCACAAGATTATGATAGTGAACTTCCATCAAAACCATCTTGGACTAAGAACAAGCCCCAACAACATGTGCATAATTACCAGTCGTCGTGGTCTCCTGATGAAAGTCGACGGCCATATAAGCCTAATTGTGATAAAGATGAGGGCTACACAAGCGATGACCCAATATACTATGGAATGTCTGATGACGTAGAGACTGATTCTCGTCCTTCAAGTTTCCCTTTCGAATATGAAGCTCTACATCAATCTCCAACGCAAAAGCGACCTTTGCGAAGACCAACCCAAGTAGTCTACGCAGGTCTTTCCGAAATAGACAATGACCGTTCATCTAGACCGCCATACGGCGACGGGAAGTGGGTATTGTTGTCAACGACAAAAGGATATAGAAATAAGAAGCGACAAAGGTCTCTGGATATATCCAAAGAGACTGTCGATGTTCCATCAATAACTTCGCATCAATCTGTTTCGCTCACTGTACTTCCTGCTCATGACAGTTCTCCATCAAACATGACGACATCACATGGCGGCTTATTGGAAGTTGAGAGAAGTTTTCAAACAGTCGAAGAATCAAAACGTGATATGGATTTAAAGAACGATCTAGAGGTTGCTGCAAGTCAGCAGAGACCTTTAAATCATAGAGTTACAAGGAAGAAAATATTTGGTAACAAAAATACGCCTGACAGTGCAACAGTACTCGCTGCTGTTGGTGCGGGAATGGTCCCAGCGACCATGGCAATGGTCGTGCCTATGATGTTGGGAAAACGTAGAAGAAGAGACGTTGTTATTGAACCGCAGATCTTTAATTTAGATAATCTTATGCATTTTCGCTAATTATACTCAATGATTGTTATTTATTTTTCTGTTTAATATTGACAAGTGTGAATGTCTGTGATCTATAAAATAATTTTGTTTGTAGTGTGAATCAAACTATTAGAAATATGTTATTTATTTTTATGTTAAGGAATTTAATAGAAATTAAGCTTTAATATTTTTATTTATATGAATAATAGTAATACCTACTGCATTTGCAATAGGATAGGAAATCAAAACATAAATAAAACAAAATTTAAATTTCGTAATAATATTAATAAGTATTTATTCAAAGTACATTTAATTAGAGAAAACGTAACAAAAAAGTGTGTAAACTGTACGTACCTACAAGATACAATAGTCGTATCAAGTACAGTCTAAGTAAAAGCGCATAAAATGAATATTTGAAAAATATTTCTTATATTATACTTATTATATGTTTGGTAGGAAAATAGGTAATTATGATAATTAATAAAGTTAATAAGTACTAAGTTATTTTTTTTATTTCCGCTGTTATCTAAATAAACAAAATTAATTTCATTTGAAACTCATAAATTAATAATATGATATGAATCAGTATTAGTCGTTTTTATTTCTATAATAACTAAATCAATGTACGAGTACATTATGTTTCAATTGAGTTGAAAACAAAAATAAAACTATTTATATACCAACTATTTATTGGTAAAGTTTTATCAAAAATATACATACGTGCATTCATGCATAGTACGTACTTGCATATATTATAACTCATATCGATTTTTTACTGTTTCTTAAATTACCAATAAATATGATATATTTTTTATATATGTAGGTATATATTAATATAAATTAATAGGTTCGTCTGGTCGATGGTACATTTTGCCGGTCTGTACTGCATCCTTCAAATATTTCACGCTAAATAGGCAAAGTATCAGGAGCACTGAAAAAATAATAAGCGTTATTTAGATATACTAGCGACTCATCCCCGTTCCGCCCGGGTTCGTCCCTAGTTACATTTAAACGTTTAGTACCTAAATATTTCAGTGAGATGAACATTTTTCCCGCAGTAATAAGTATCCTTTATGTTTATCCGGATAACCAGCTATCATCATACCAAATTTCATCAAAATCTGTCCAGTGGTTTTCTAGTGATGCGGCCACAGACAGAAAGACAAAAATTCTAAAAACTATAGATTCGGCCTCTGTATCGATAGTAATGACTAATTCAATAAGATTTTTCAAAACATATTTAATGTACAGATTCGACTCAGAATTTTATTATGTGTATAGATAGATAATCAACACATTATTCAAAGACATTTAAAGATAATGAGCTCTTTTAAGAACTAATCAATAACTTTAAAAAACAAATAGATTTGAAGGATACGTAATAAGTTAGCATGCAAATAAATATAATTATTTACCATCAGATACGACAAGAACTGCAAGTCGGGGCCAATCTGTTATTATCGACGCCCAAGCTATTAGCACAATCGTCAAGAAAACATGAATAAAACTGTACACGAAGAAAGTTGTTATTGCGCATACGTTCAACTAAAACAGAAAGTAATTTATTTTATGTGGTTTAACATTTTAATTTGACATTGTTTGATAAAAATAAATAAAATATAATGTCGGGATTATTATGCTTTGATTAAAATTAAATAAAAAGTATGTGCTTACAATTATTCTTTAGGTTTTTAAATGCAATAATTATATGTACCTTATAAACACCAACAGTAAATAAAACCGCAAAGAGGAACAGCAGAAATGCCAACACAATGTAGACAAATAAGTATATTGTGCCAAAAAGCCCTTGAGAAAACGAATCGTCTAACTTCACTTCTATTTGAGTTTTTCCAAGTAACATTAGAACTGTGTAGATGAGGTGATATAACATAACAGTTAAGCTAAATATCTGAAAGCAAAAAGATTTCTTAAATATAATTTAGTTAATTAAATAATATTTTGCTTAGAAACGCCTGATTAAAAGAAATAGCAAATACTCTTAACGTTGAGCAGGTTTCTTATGTATATATATTTTAACAAGGCGAGAATATTCTTGAATATACGGTAAAATTACTTACAATTACTATGTAACCAAACACAATATTCCCCAACCTCAACGGGAAACAAAATAGAAATTTTCTCGTCATTTTCGCTTGTGCTGAACTCTGAAAAAAATTTAATCATGTTAAATCCGTTTTTGTAGAATTAATCATTTTAGAAAAATTGGTAATTTAATAGTCATACATAATTTACCTATACGAGTCGATTTTCGCATTCACTAAAGGTAAATTACAGGTACAAGTAAATGTGCATTATACGTAATAATTAATGCTGAATCATAACGTAATGTTACGGTTTTCAGGTGAGCTCCATTTTATTAATATTTTTTATTTTCAGTATCATGTTTATAAGTGTTACAATAAACTAAGCGCACAACCTATCCTGATAAAATCTCTACACAATGTGTTATTTAGGGTTAATTAGATATGTGTATGTCCACTGACCGTTCAGCGGGGGACCTTTTCTACTAAGCCCCTTGTTAAGTCTCGTTTACACATTTAAATAAATGGTGTCCGGCCAGATATTTATTTATATATGTAAATGATAAAATTGACTTTGCCAAATATTCATGTTACATTATTTTTTTAGCATTTACTTGAGTTTTATTAATCGGTTTAATGCATAATTTTCACATGGCAGACAGAAATCAGCGGACTTTAAGAGTCCGTGTGTTTATTCGAATAGATGTCGGCGTCCAGTTAAAACTTAACAGTATATGGTTCATGGGAACTGGAGAATGACATAGGGTTTTATATTTACATTTAGCTAGCTATAACTGAACGTAAATTATATTAATAGAACCTCATATTAAGTTTATAAACTCATTATTGCTATATCAAAGCCTAAAAATTATTGAATTTTTTTGTCGTAGCGTGTGTCTGTTTGAAACCTTAAATTTATACAATGGGATCATTGACAGTTTAAGAGGTTCCATCGAAAGGCTGCAATCTACAACATACATATCTAGCTAGATACTACACCTATATAATATACTATGTACATAATCTTATAATATTAAATGAGCAATTCTTGTATAAGTGTGTATATATATAAAAAATACCGAGCTAAGCTCGGTTGCCCAGGTACTATACTATAATCCTATCTAATTGTTATCCTAAAATCCGGCGCAAATAGAGATGAAAGCACCTTTGGCAATAACTAATCAACCATATTATAATTCATTTTTTCCGTTGGGTTTGGCTTTTCAGTGCTAAATACACAAAGTAGGGTTGAGATTGCATAAATAGCATATTATTTCCTAAGTCCGTGGGACTCGGAGTTCAACGTATGATGGTTCAAAGTTACGGTTCACAGCTTTTGAGAGGTGAGGTCCGAGGGGCAAATGCGCTCAGATTACTTCAACATTTAGAAATGCTGCTAATAAAAAGATAAAATAAATGAAACAATTAAATATAAAAACTTTTTAGCAAAAAAAATTACTTAGCCAAAGCACACCGACTTCGAAAATATTTGATTAGGTATGTATAGTAAATGAAAACTACCAATCAGTTATTTTTTACTTTTTAGTGCTTTTGTTTGAAGTCGGTTTTTATTTTTTGTTAAAAAGTTTTTATTTTTCCCTTTTTAGTGTAGACAGTAGTAGAAAAGTAAGAATTCTAACGTGTTAGGCTTGTCAAATCAAACAAAATAAGCCCAAACTCAAAGTATCTACTATTAGCCGTTGAAGAGTTCCACCTATCCACCTTCTGGCGTTACCATCAGATCAGGTCAACAATACCGAACCACTGTACTATCAACGGAAATAGAAACACTTGCAAAGTTTCAAATCAATATGACAATTAGAAGTAGGTTAAATTCATCATTAGCTATTTTTCCACCCTTAGGGGTGGTATTTTTTTTGAAAGTTAAATGGTATAAAAAAATCTGGAAGTATACACTTTCAAAAAACACAAAATTGTCCAAATCGGTTAATAAATGACGGAGTTCTGAGGTAACAAAGATAAAAAAATACAGTCGAATTGAGAACCTCCTCCTTTTTGAAGTCGGTTGAAAATATTATTTTCTCTTTTATTATTTATTAACCGACTTCCAAAAGTTATAATGCAAATTAATTATTTCCTGTAATTACTTTAATAGAGATTTATAGTAAGAATACGAAATTTAAAAAATATATTATAGATAGTATTTAAGTATCTAATGAGTCAGGAATTATATCATACAATGAAAGTGCACTTCATACTGCTTTAGAAACATTTGGTGAACCATTACCTTAGATTCCTTTTGAAAGACACGGTGAGACATTATGTGAACACAAAAAATAGCAAAAAAAATATCTCGTTAAATTATAATGTTATAAATGTGACAGTTTGGGAGTGTTACTTTTTCACGCTGTAATGGCTGAACGGATTTGCCTAAATTTCGGAATAAATGTTAATATATCGTGGTAACTAACTAGTGGTGGTAACTAGATTTTTTTTATTGATAACTACGCGACTAAGAGATTAATAACGTATTTGACGAATTTAGGTTTTGACAAATAACTGATTTGACGAATCGCGAATTTGGCAAATTAAGCTTTTGACTTGTATAGAATACGAGTATGACCAATTAAATATTTGACGAACAGAGTCGAGAATGCAAAACCTATGTAATACACGTTTATGTTGAAAATTTTATAAGACAGTTAAGTGTAAACCTTTAAATATTATCTCCTCGTAAATTATTAATTGTAAAACTCAGTGTCAAGATTTTGTAAACCGTTAACGTTTACTATGTTATAGCATAATTTGCTTTATGAAAATTCTCTAAAATCTCTTGTAAGGTAATCAGAAATTTAAATTAGATGTTAATTTATAAGATAAAATAAGATTAATTAAGCGTACTTCTACAAGCAAAGAAGATACAACGAATACTTTGATGAAAATTGGATTAAGTATTATATATTGCACACTAAGTACAGGTATAATTTAAACACGAAATATAACTGCACGTAAGTTTATCATGTGACTTGTCACGCTTCAATTCATGTAACAAGGGCATTCTGATAAATTTGAAATATCGATTATATTTAATACTTTCTTAGATTTACGCGAATATTTGACATTTTAAATAAAACTATCTTTGCGGATTATTTCGCAGATTTATTTTGATTATATTTTTTAAGTTACTTATATATTTTTTGTTAATGTATATCTTGAAGCTGGCATTCTACACCAAATACGCCAGCATCCCATACAAAGACGACCTGAGAGCGCATCACCAACTTTCAGCATAACTGCTCTTAGAATTCCGAATAGTAGCCATGAGGCAAAAAAATAATATATTGTACAAGATTCTCTAAATATTTTAATCAATCACTTTTTCACCAAAAGCGCAGTACCTATCTAAATAGATGAAAATTAAATCATTGACTATCTTCTATCTTGTCTTTCCGTAAGAAAAGATATACATCTATATACGTGACAAATATTATTTTTAGAAAAGGAGTTAAATATTACATATAAAACGAGATATTGTATATAATTAATTTTAAGTAGAAAAGTAAATGCACAAAATATTAATTCTAATGTGTACTTATTGGCACGATTACAGCTTGCATACGATGACAGGAAAATTAACATCTACGCGTGACATAGTCTTGGCTTCATGAATATTTATAAGTTAGATATCGTTCTTGACTGTGCTTGTATTGTCCTTGAGATTATCAATGTAGGTAAAAGGGTCTGGGCTCGAGTTTTGCGTATTATATTTGGCATTCAATTACCGAGATTTTAACGATTTAAGTTTACTTCAGACTTCATCTGTGCATATAGTCTGTGTATAGTATACAGTAAAGTAGGTTTTAAGTGTGTAGCAATATAAAATTCTAGTCAAAATTAATCCCGCATTTTGTGGCACTATGTATATCTTAGAGGTAAATAATCCATTCACTATAACTTTATCATAAAATTTTAATGTCACAATGTAGGTAGTAGTTGTAAGTTGGTGTTCCTACACGATGTAAAATTACGGTTGAATGTCAAACAAACAGAAGCTAGTTATAAATACCTAGTTAATTGTGAAATATAAATATAACTTGTTGTGCGGGACGATGTACAGCTTTTACATTTATGAATAAATATTTGTTATTATAAAAGGTGATTTAAAAACAAATTAGAACGTTCTTTTAATAATAAGTATTATCCTGAGGCTTGATTTCTGTATTTAGACATGTTATATTAGTAAAAAAGACAAACTAGGTATATTAGAAGGTAGCAATATATATATATATATATATATATATATATATATATATATATATATATATATAGAATAAGTACAAGAAATAAGTATGTACATATAAAAATTACCTGCTCAAATTACATTTATAATTCACATATAAAAGCTAAAAGTTAAAGTTTTTATAAAGTCAAATATATTTGTGGCGTTTTTACCAAACCAAGAAGGTAAACTAAATCTATACTTTAATATAAAATTATATGTATCAGCCTAAGCGTAACCATATGGGATAAAATTTGCGAGGTCCGTTACAATATACAATTCCAGCCATACACTATACCACTGCACTCTGCCGGCCATCAAATCCCTGATGCACATTTATAAATATAAATCTCCCAGCATACTGTAGCACAAAGAAGTATTGTTAGAAGAGGCAAGATTTTTGCGATACTAATGAGTAAAGTATTTTAACTAGCCTTCTATTTTCTCTACCGTGTATGGAGTTAGAACCAGAATGTTTATAACTCGTTAGAAAATTCGGTATGACTATACCAATAGATGCCTGTGGCTTTAATGAGTTTTCATTAGCACTATTACAGTTTGTGTTATACCTAATTGATTAATTCATCAAAATTATTCTATTATATCTGCATAGCTATGTATAAAAGTAATATAATTATGAGGGTTGAACATAAGACGTAATAGACGAGATCTAAACAATAAATTTAATGGTTAAATTGGCGATATATGCAAATTCAGGGCATTTATAACATCAAAAATTATAAAAGATATTAAAGTACGCATGTCTATGCACAGTATAATGTAAAAAATGTAATAAAAATAATCATATTAATCATAACAATATATATTTTTTAAATTGTCTTCTATACTTATTAAATAAAAAAAT